AAAAGGCTAATGTTTTGAAATAGAAAATGTATTAACAGTTTTTAAGAAGATAAATTATTCTCTTCATTTTACACTAATAAATATTTTTTATTTAATTAAATAAATTAAAGAAAATTAATTAAGGACAATATTTTTATTTATTTTTTCATATAATTTTATGTATCATTTAAATAAATAATTTTTTTAATTTATTTAAAATCTATAATAAAATATATAAAATTTATATTAAAAAAATTATTCTTCTAAGACCGTATTTGTTTTATGTGGCAACCTACTTTTTTGGTGATGTGGTTGCCACATGTGCTGAGCCCCACACTACAAGCAAAATGCCTTTTACCAACGGAAGTCTATACTGACGGATTGAAATCCGTTTGTATACACGGGTCTATACCAACGGAAAAATATATCCGTCTGTATAGACAAGTCTATACCAACGGAAAAATATATCTGTTAGTATAGGTTAGGTCTATACAAACAAAAAATTATATATGTTAGTATAGATTAGGTTTATACAAACGAAAAATTATTATCCATCTGTATAGAGAATATCTATACCAACGGAAATCATCTTGCATTTGTAATTTATACATACAGATTTCTATATACTATCTGTATAATTTACTATTTGTTAAACTCAATTTTTTCCTCTTTAATTTTAGCCGGCTGTCCTTATTTTCACTTCCCTCCACATTTTCCCCAATTTTCCTTCTCTACATTCCGAGTTTCCCTCCCCAACTAAACCTAAATATTTCCCTCTCCCAAATCTAGTTTGACTCCAACCTTCGCCAAAATTCATTTCCCTTTTCTCTCTTCTCTCTCGTATCCTTTCCCTTTCTCCTTCTCGCTATTCATGCCATCATCGTCCGATTGAAGGGGCTAGCCGACGTTCTCTTTGTGGGACAGTTCTCCAATAGTGCAAATCTGACATTTGATCCAAAAAATTTGGTTAACCTTGACGACTTTTCGACTTGATCTAGCACTGGGGACCTTGGATCCATGTTTCAGACTCCGATCGACCCTTTGGT